CCATCTTTGCAAAGGGCAGCCTGGATTCCCTTAAATCCAGGCTGCCTTTTGCAAAGATGGCACGGCGGGGGCAGGGTGCTTTTTAACCCACCCACCCCAAATCAACAAATAATTTCATTATTCATCACTTCATGGCCGCAACTTCGTGCTTCAAGACGACTCACTAAGCAGGACAACTCGCCAAAATGGTGAGTCATGCCCATCTCTAATCAGGACACAATAAAAATCATCTGGTCCTTAGCAGGTCGGAAAATTAGGTAAATACAATCTCAGAAGAACAACAACATGACATATTACACTGTGTTATGATTTATTTAACAAAAATAAAGCCAAAACGAAGAAGCCACATGAGAAAAACTAAGTACACCTTATGATTCAATAGAAGCCACATGAAAAAAACTAAGTACACCTTATGATTCAATAGCTTGTAGAATTTCCTTTGTTGTGGAGGAATTTTGGCCCACTCTCCTTTACATTGCTTCATTTCATTGAGGTTTGTGGACATTTGTTTATGCACAGCTCTCTTAAGGTCCTGCCACAGCATTTCAATCAGGTTGAAGTCTGGATTTTGACTGGGCCATTGCAACACCTTGATTCTTTTCTTTTTCAGCCCTTAAGATGTCGAATTGCTGGTGTGCTTGGGATCACTGTCCTGTTGCATGACCCAATTTCAGCCAAGCTTTAGCTTTCTGACAGATGGTCTCACATTTGACTATAGAATACTTTTGTATACATGATATTCATGGTCAGCTCAATGACTGCAAGGTGCCAGTATTTGACTCTAAAATACTTTGGTATACATGGGAGTTCATGGTCAACTCAATGACTGCAAGGTGCCCCGGTCCTGTGGCTGCAAAACAAGCCCAAAGCATCACCCCTCCACCACCGTGCTTGACAGTTGCAATGAGGTGTTTGTGCTGATATGCTGTGTCTAGTTTTCACCAAACATGGCACTGTGCATTATGACCAGACATCACCACTGAGGTCTCATTTGCCCAAAGGACGCTGTTTCAGAAGTCTTGTAGTTTGTCCAGATGCAACTTTGCAAACCTAAGCTGTGTTGCCACACTATTTTTAAAGAGAAGAGGCTTTCTCCTTCCAAACAAACCATACTTGTCCAGTCTTTTTCCAACTCTGCTGTCATGAATGTTAACATTTCACATGCTAACTGAGGCCTATAGAGTCTGAGATATTACTCTTGGGTTTTTAGCAATTTCTTTTAGCATTGCATGGTCCGACCTTGGGGTGAATCTGAGGCCTATAGAGTATGAGATATAACTCCTGGGTTTTTAGCATTTTCTTTTAGCATTGTATGGTCCGACCTTGGGGTGAATTCGCTTGGACATCTCACTCCTGAGAAGTCTGGCAACTGTCTTGAATGTTTTCCACTTGTGAATAACCCTCCTCACTGTAGAATGATGGACTTTAAATTGTTTGGAAATGGCCTTATAGCCCTTCCCAGATTGAGGGGCAGCAACAATTGCTTCTCTACGATAATTGCTGATGTTTTTCCTCTTTGGCATTGTGTTAAAACACACCTAAATGTTCCAGACCAGCAAACTGCTAAAATGTTGGCTTTTACAAAGGTGGTTACACTTGCAGATGATCAGTTTACTCATTGTTTATTTAGAAACAATGCATTTCTTGTTTTGTACTGTAAGTGGAATCCAAAAGTTAATGAGCAAGGGCCTCATTTTTATCAGGTTCCACTGCAGTTTATTTAGATTGATCTTTCTATATCCTTTAGAACTCCATTTAGTGTTGATGATAAGAGCTTCAGAACTTTATCTCATTTGTCATCAAAATAACATAATAAGGTAAATTAGTAGTTGCCATTCAACAGATGGGACACTGGACATGAGAAAGAATGAGGGAAAACTGTGATTGAAGGGGGATCAAGGTTCTGTTCATTTGAGATTAATATTCCATCCATTGGGCAGTTCAAACTAATTTCCTAGGTGAGTGCATTTGCTTTATTGAAGAAACTGGTCAATATTTTTTTAAAAAGTCACATATAGGTCTTGTTCAAGAAATTAATACAGTTATATGCACATCTCAGTTCTCCTGATTTCAGTCTGGCTTATTATCCAGATAAATGGAAAAGGACCAAAACCTCACACTTTCTTTGACATGAAATCAGTTATAATCAACTCACTAATTCCTAAGGCATTGTTCCTTGGTGTCCCCCTTATTTTCAATGCAGGATGCAAGAAACATATCAACATTTTGCTTAACATGTTTGTTTAATTTTTTGTTTTCTTTTTTTTTTAATGGGGGCGGGTTGACCAATCTGTAGTTCATCATTGTTTGTTGTTGTCTTTTTGTTTTCCAGAAGCTATACAGAAAGGAAATAAAACCACCTTTTAAACCTGCAGTGGGACGGCCTGAAGATACCTTTCATTTTGACCCAGAGTTCACCTCACGAACACCAACAGGTATTGATAGATTCATCATTCCCTGTTCATTCACAGTTGATGGAATCCTAATGCAATAAGTTAAGATGTTTGGTAAGATGAAAAGCAGGTCTCAGGTGTGAGGAAACGGTTTGGCGGGGGTCTGCATTCCACTTTCAGAGAGGTCTCGAGGGCCTCATTCTAGCAGTGAGCAAGGCTTAAGGACTTTATGAAACAGAGCCAGGTGTCATTTTCACTATTTTGGATGCTTCCTCACCAACTACAATGCAGTTCAATTTTGTGTGTACCTACTTAGGAGAAAGCCCTAGTGGAATAGCTTTTTTTCAGGCAAAGGTCATCTTAATTCTGCACTTCTTCATGCAGGGGTTAAGGCGTTCAACAGCTTTGTAGACAGCAAAGCACCACTTGATCCCATGCAACATGGCCTTGCCTTCTACCATATTAAGAGTAGGTGCTCCAGAAAATTCAGACATACTGTAACATTATGTTCATGCTACAGGTGCACTGTACTGAGAAAGGCTTGCTTGTTATAATACAGAAATCAGCATGGGTGGCATGTAGGAGCTGTTTCTTAACAACACTGGGTAGAGAATGCATTTGAGTAATGTGAGCATTACTGAAGGAAGTGTTTTGCTTTGTTGGAATCTCAACCTGTCCTGTTCATTGATTCATATCTCGCTTCCTGTTCAGATTCCCCTGGTGTACCTCCAAGTGCAAACGCTCATAATCTCTTCAGAGGATTCAGTTTTGTTGCATCGAACCTGGTGCAGGAACCTCCACAGCAAGAGCTGCATAAAGTGACCATTCATCCAATCGTCCAGGTAAAGATGTCTCTCATGGGCTTTGGTATATTACTGCTGTGTTCATCTACTATCTTCAAACTGCAAGGTATTGTTGGGACTCAGTGTGTTACTCAACTGTGATTTCTTTTAGAAGTAGGTGATTGGATGTTTATGACATTTTATAATATTTGAATTTCTGAAGATAATATCATTTGAATGTATGCATAAGAACAGCTTAATACACTCTAAATAGACAGCAAAAAGGATGAGCCAATATAAAATGTCCAGGAAGAAAGAGCTACTAAAGCAATGATGGCTAATAACAGAAGCTGGTATTGGGGGAAAGGCATAAACTCAGTGGGGGGGGCACACACGTTGCATTCAAAACCTTCTTGTTTCACTCTCAAGCATACCCGTATAAGGTTGAAAAAAGAGACTCTCACCTGCAACCATGAAGACTTGCTATCATTCTTTAGAGAATGACAATACAGAGCACGGTGAATAATAGTCTGATCTCATATAAGGCAGCTTCCTGTATTCTTAAGTGCAATGTCTTCCAGGAATGAACTGAGTTTAGGACATGTCCAGCATTTTCTGAACAGCAGAGGAAAAAATGAGCACAACATAACAATGCATTTTTGTTTTTACTAATATTGATGTGTATTACTTCCAAAATATTGTAACTATTTGCAGTTTAAACCCATTTATGTTTACTTCCAAGTAATTTCCACAGAGTTCTGTCAGGAATGATTTCACCCAAATTGTAGGTTTAATGGGTTTGGAAAATCATAACATCTGGTTCATAAGCAGAAGCTATGTGAGGAATCATCTTTTAATTTTCAGTGCTACAAGGTCTTCTGATGGATGCTACCTTGAGGCCTGTCTTCTTATTACTATTTTTTTTCCTCTATAGCAGTTACATGGGAACAATATTCACTTTACAGATGGATATGAAATCAAGGAGGACATTGGCATTGGCTCATATTCTGTATGCAAGAGGTGTGTACACAAAGCCACAGAAGCAGAATTTGCTGTGAAGGTAAGGAATCACCTTGCCTTGTCAACTGTTCATAATCTGTCAAGAGCAATTGTTTTGGGATTTTAATGGCTTGCCACACAGTCATGCAAGGCTATCCATGGTGCAAAAAGAACAAAAATATTTCCATCAGATGTATGCACTCTTTGAGTTTACCTGCTAATTTCTGGGTGAGACAGATTATGTAGATCAATTTCAAACCGGCTTCAGACCTGGTTATGAGACAGAGATGGCTTTGATTGTCTTGGTGGATGACCTATGCTAGGAACTGGAGGGGATCTGTGTACCTGTTGGTGCTTCTTCGTGGCCTCTGTGAATACACACTAAGGAGTTAAGTCTGCACTTGTGCAGAGGCCTCGGAATATTCTAGAGCTTAAAGTAACCATTTTAGCCCCTCCCCCCAAGCCCTCATGGTCCGCCCGCCCTAACAGCTACCTCAGTTCTTATTTTTCCGTTGCTGAAAGAGGTCTCATTTCTTAGAACTCCTTCTCATTCTGTAAACACAAGTAGAACAATCGTTCATTTTCTTTCTCTTTTAGCACCTTTTATAAGAGTTTTTGTTTTTCCTTTTGTTTAAAAAAAAGTAAGAGAAAGAAGAAGGACTTTCATTTCATTTGTTTCCCCCCTTCCCCCCCCGCCTTTTATGGCACCTATTGTCTTTCAAAGGTGTCCCTTTTGTTTAAGAAGATTCCTACCTCTGAGGGACACCATTTGTGCCTTTGTTTCTTGGGTGAAGCCCATCAGCCTACATCCTGCATTCCTTTTTAAAAGTTTTAAGAAGCAGGCCTTGAAATTGAGACAGTGCTTTCGCCTCTCTTTGTGGGAAAAGTCATTACAACCTCCAGTCATGGATCCTTCCTCCCTGACACAGCCTTCTGCCGGTTCCCCTGCTAATACTTTGTCTTCCTCTCCACAGCCTAAGCTAATCGCTCTCTTCAAACTGTTAACAGAAAGAAGCATCAGACTGCTAAGATTTAAAAAGACGAAATCGGCTTCCTCCCAACAGCATTGGATCACCTCATGGGCATTGGAAGCCCCATCCCCACTGTTTGCGGGACTGACTGCTACGGCTGAGATTTCTGCAGATATTTAAGCCTTCCCCTCCTCAGTGCCTTCTAGCCCCGGCTCGCCTCCAGACACGCAATTGCCGCTGGGCTCTGAGCCTCAAGGCTCCCCGGACGTCAGCACCATCGTGAGAAAGAAGGCTTAAAGGCACTATTGACCTGCCTGATACTGAGGAGGGCGAGCCTCCGAGGCATTCGGTGCTCAAAGGCTTTGAAAGACCTAAGATTTGCAAGCATAGGTCTAAGAACTACAGAGAAAAATCTCAGTACCACAGACTCCACCACTTTCCTGATACCAGGCAATACAAGAAACGATGATACCATGGTGTCTCTGAACCCGACTACTCTCCATCTCCTGATACCAAAAGACACAAGAAGAGATGGTACCATGAAGCCTCCCTAGTACCGCCATCTCATAAAACTCAGGCACCTCCGGTACCGACCAAGACCAGGACAGAGGTCCCTTTGGTACCGATAGGGACTAACAAGAGGCATTCTGACCCCTCTGCTCATACCATCCCGAAGGTACCTGAGCCACTCGGTACAGAGGATGCTGGTACCGTGCTTGGTACCAAGCGGAATGCTAAAACATGCTGGTACCAGGAGGTTAAAACATGCTGGTATCAGAAGGTTACAACATCCTGGTACCAGAAGGTTAAAACATCCTGGTACCAGAAAGTTAAAACATGCTGGTACCATGCCACGGTACCAAGCAGAAGGCTAAAACATCCTGGTAAAAAGGTAAAAGTTCCCCTTGACAATTTTTGTCCAGTCATGTTCGACTCTAGGGCGCGGTGCTCATCCCCGTTCCCAAGCCATAGAGCCAGCGTTTTGTCCGTAGACAATCTTCCGTGGTCACATGGCCAGTGCGACTTAGACACGGAATGCTGTTACCTTCCCACCGAGGTGGTCCCTATTTATCTACTTGCATTTGCATGCTTTCGAACTGCTAGGTTGGCGGGAGCTGGGACAAGCGACGGGAGCTCACTCCGTCGCGTGGATTT